TCAGCTTCCAAAACCAAAACATTTTGAATAAAGCAGGAAACAAAGAGTATGCAATGTAACCATCTAATTTATTTTCAAATCCTCATTCTTGAAAGTGAAATTCTATATTTTTGAAATTTTGCATGAAATCTGTCAACCACGTTGTCCTGGTCGAGGTTGCTTCACCTATCACGATGTATTCCAACCATCATGAGGCTATCAAAATGAGCATTTGTCATAACAGAACGCAAATTATTTTTAATTAGGCTCATTGAATTATTATTATTATTGTTATTGTGGTTGTTGTTGTGATGAAAAGTTAACACAAACGATACAGTATGGTGGCTAAACGAATATTACATGTAAATATTTTTTTAAATTTTTTTATTATTTTTTATTACAACAAAATTTGTCGTCTTAAGTAACTATAACATGGTCAGAGTGACTTTAATAATAATATTATTATTATTAAAATCATTATCATCATTATTAATATTATTAATAACTATAACATTAATTATAGGTGTAATTTTCCCCTACCTGAATACTCTGTACTGTATGTGTGAAAACAACACTGAACCTTGCGATTTTTTTTCTATTCCATAACGACAATAACAATTACTATCAACATTGTAGTACCCGCTGCTTTACTTGGACTCGAATTCAACCCTGACCATCAGGCGCACTCTCGGTGGTCTACTGAGAGATGATGCCAGGCTAAAGATCTGGAGATCGTGCGTTCGAATCCCACCCGAGTACAAATTGCGATATTTTTTTTCGCAGTTGTTTTCACACGTACTGAATATTCAGTACATTTCCACGTCAGGTAGGGCAAAATTACACCTATACTTGATTCTGCTGACATAACTCCAGTTATTGTCTATCCCATCTAAGTATAAGCAAAGAAAGCAGAATAAACGGGATATAAAAGTGTTTTGGAAAATTACAAATAGGTTCCTTGATATCCGGCGTACTTTTGATTCTGTTCCTCATGGATTGTTTTTATTTAAGTTGTCTAATTATTTTCGTATTCGCCACATTCTTGTTTCTTGGATTGGCAATTGGCTCTATGATAGACCTCAATGCACTTTATTTAATGGCATCATATGAAGCAAATTACCTATCAAATGTAGTGTCATTCAAGGCACTAAACTTGGATCTATTCTTTATTTTATGTTTTATCAATGATATTGCCAGCAACTTTGGTTGCCCATTTTCCCTTTATGCCGATGAAATCGTTATGTTATTCTAAGGACATACTTTCGGACCAATTACCGGTACCACATATTGCCTCACTCCTGGAATCTTGGTCTCACAGCAATGGTTTGTCCTTCGACCGCCCCTATGCAGAATTAAGAATAGGCCTATAGACTTTCGTAGAAATCCATCTAATTTCCCTAACTTTGTCTCCATGGCACAATTGTTGAAGAAGTTCACAGTTTCAAATACTATGGCATTTTAATCTCAGATAACCTAAAAGTTTTCTGTTCATCTCGATCTTTCTTCTTCTAAGAAAAATACTATCAGAGAAGTCCTTAAAATGTAAAGACATTTTGGTCAATATTTGGTGGGGTGGTACGCGGGTGGTCACTAGTACCTTAGTGGAGTAACGTCCCTACCCCGGGATGCATAGTTTGATTAGGTTTGCTTATGCGGCTCATTAAGACCTCAGCGGAGTGATGTCCCTACCCTATAATGCATA